TCTGATCATAAAATCTATATTTTAGATGAAAATATAAAGTGTAGTGTTAATTTTGTCCCCGGTAGTATTAAAAAAATATGATGAAAAAACGAAAATCTAAATTATCTCTATTTCTAAGTATTAACCAGCTAAAGGAGAAAAAAAATATTGTATTGCTTTTTTCTCAGATCCTAGAATTAAGAATCTAACCTGTAAATTAAATGTTGAATAGTCTTGCTCTGTTCCGTTAATCATCAATCGCAGAAACCATTGAACTGTAGTAACAAGTTGATTTACAGGTATTAGACAAATTAATATTGAATCGTTTACAATTACGGCTTCAGTAATCGATGCATTTAAACGTTGTGTATCAGGAAAAAATTTACAAGATCGAAACCCTCTATACTCACTTGAATTAAAATTTACGCCATAAAGTGTTATGTTAATGCCACCAATATCATTGATTAATGGTGGATCAACTGATTGTATTACTGGATACGGTAAACAATGAGCACCATATCGATTTGCTTCACATCTATCGCATGCTTGGCCAGTAAAACCATGTTGACAAATACATGTTGAATTAGCACATGTGCCATTATTTCGACATTGTTCAGAGCAACTAACACACTCACGAGTTTCAAACCACCCCCACCACCAAGACCGGATTAACCAAAAATAGTTTAAGTCACATTGATCACAAAAGAAACCATCATAACCTATCGAACATTCACAGCCACCTAAATGGCATTGTCCACGAGAACAAGAACCATTCGTTGGACATTGTCCATATACAGAAATTGAAAATCCCCATGAGTATGATTTCTCAACCCATGTTATACCATTGTCAAGTGAAAGAGAAATAATGACTGACGTCCGTTGAGTATAGTTGGAAAGTCTACAAATGACTATCGAAGTGTTACCAATTATTGCAGGAACTGTCCAGTTTGTCGATGCTTGAAACAGACATATAACATTAGCCAACGATGAAAAGTAAAGATGACCTCCAATTAATGTGATATTAATTCCGTCACGCGCAGATAGATCAGTGACATAAGTCGGTTGAATACTGACCAACTGTGTCGTATTTGTACACCGTGGGCCATAAAAATTAAACTGACATTCAGTGCAACGAATACCGGTGAATCCTTCTGCACACACACATGTAGCATTCACACATGTTCCATTATTAGCACAATCCGATGAACAATTATAACAATAAGGAAAACCGAAATAGCCATCAGAGCATCGATCACACCAGATACCGGTATATCTAGTGTTACATGTGCAGTTACCATAAGAACATATTCCATAATTACAATGACCATTAGTCGGACATTGCCCATATACATAAATGAAAAATCCCCATGCGTATGATTTCTCAACCCATGCTATACCATTGTCGAGTGAAAGAGAAACAATGACTGACATCCGTTGAGTATAATTTGAGAGGCTACAAATCACTGTTGAACTATTAGCACTTATTGCAGAAACAGTCCAGTTTGTCGATGCT